CGTCCTTGGCAGCGAAAGGGTTAAAGTAGAATTAAAGTCTCAATTTTGTTTGCATATATCTACTGCTAGTAAGCAGTAGATATATGCCACAACATAATAATAAAAAAAAAAGTTACCAAACAGGTAAATACTTACCTCTGTCTGCGCCACTCGCTCCCGGCTGCAGTACACAGATCCGAACAGCTGTGCAGGAGGAGGATGTGGGCGGGGCCATGTCCCCGGTAGTGAGAGGAAGAGAGACACTGTATCAATGAATGCAGCCAGGAGCGTGCATGCCGGACAGACTCCGTGGGACACAGAAGTCTGCACTGGATCAGAGAGCAGCACCTGCACTGGAGGGACTGCTGGAAACCAGTGGAAGGAAGAAGATGATCAGGGGCACATCTTGGTGCCCCTTTATTAAAGGAGTACTCCGATGCATGTAAGCCCCCCTGCCTGCAGACCTCCACAACCAACGCCCCCAGGGCTTGTGGGGAAGAGGCCCTTGTCCCAATCGGCATGGGGAGAAGGTGCTTTTCCAGGGGGGACCCTGAAAAAGCATCCTCCCAGTGCTGAGGGCATGTGGCCTGGTATGGCAGGGAGGGGTGCTCACTCGTTCCCCCCTTTCCTGCCCCGCCAGGCCTGTGATCAGATCAAGGGTCTGGTTAGGAATTTTAGGGGGACTGCACTCTTTTTCCCCCATTTTTGGGGTGGGGTTTCCTCCTTACAATTCCTACCAGACCTAAAGGGCCTGGTATGACTTGGGGGGGGGGACCCCATGCACTTTTTTTTAACTTGGGGTCCCTGTTAACTTTCCTACCAGACCCAAAGGGTCTGGTATGGTTTGCGAGGGGGTCCCCACACTGTTTTCTTTGTTTTTTTCTTTACATTTCTTTAAATTATTTTTTATTTAAAAAAAAATATTTTGTTTACATTTTTTTTATTCTGCTCGCTGCCTCGGAGGAAGCGAGCAGAATAGCCGAGCCGAGTGCCTTTTCAGCAGCATACGGCTGTTCACTCACTGCCGTTCGGTCAGTAGGAGAACAGAGGCGAAAGGCAGCGAGTCAACTGCTGGAGGTTCGGCTCAGCCGATCCAGATGTTGGTCGAACGGCCCCTTCACTTCAGCTTAGCCGAACATGCAGAGCATGTCCGGCTGACCGAAGTCAGCCATTGTACAGCTGATTTTAGCTGATGTACAGCTGAAATCAGCCGTACGAAGTCGAAGTGAATAGTCGAACAGCGTTCGGCTCAGTTCACTTCGGGCCTGTTATTCACTCGGCTGCCTTTGGCAGCTTAGTGAGTAGCCCCTTAGTTTGTTTTCTTTAGAAAGCAGATATAAACTGAGTAGAAAAGCCTGTCCCATGCCAGCATCCTGCAGAGAAAGACCCTTGCTTTCAGTGTGGAAGCAGATGTCTTCCTGCAGAGGTTTGACACACCCCTGCTTGCTTATAAATAAAAAATGGTAATATAGAGATGATTTTGAAAGTATATATTTATTTATTTACAGAATTTCAAGCAAGAAAAAATAATTTTCTTGAGGTGGTGGAAAAAATGAAGATGAATCCTTACTTGATCCTGAAGCTGACCTTGAGGGTCGTCCTGAACATTGATTTAGATATTGTGCTCGACAAGCCACCAAAAACTGTAGAGGATCTTCCATGGAATTATCTAAGGAAGCTGATGGCCTTAAACGGGACTGGAAGAGACATTTTACTTGAGATAAATCCTTCTACTGACGATAATGATGACATTTTTAATGCTTCCTTATTTCAAGATAAACTTAATGTGTCCACTTCCATACACCCCCTGGATGTCCTGTGTGTCCTCCTGCATTGTTCAGATAGTTTTCTGCAACAAGACATTGTATCCAAAATGGCCATGTGTCAGTTGGCTGTCCCTCTGCTGCTCCCTGCTAGTGACGGGTCACACTGCACCTTCATGCTTTGGGCAATGAGGAATATTGTGAAGAAGAGGAGACCTCAGTCACTAGCTGACAAAAAAGGGTTCAGAGAAGAAAATGTGGTCAACATACCCATGCCAATCTTCTCTTTTGTCCGACTGGGGAAAACCAAATTATCCAAATCTAAATTACTGAACCAAATTCTTAACCCAGCCCACCAACATAACTTCTTCATACATGACAATATGGATGGAGGAAACTTTAAGAGAAAAATATCTGATGGACTCGTGGAAATTTGCTGGTATTTTCCTTCTGGTAAGTCTGATGTTTTCCCTGAGCCCATCACAGTGACCAACCTACGAGGAGACCTGGAGAACAACTGGGACCAGTTCATGTTTCTGACTGGAGTCTCATCAGCTGTATTTATATTCATTGAGAGTATTTCTGAGGAAGAATCCAGACTCTTATCAAGCTGCCCTACTAATGACACCCAATATTATTTCATTGTTACTCCAGGTCCTGGCAAAAATGTGAGTGCACAGACACTGAAGATTCTTCAAGACTTAAGACCAGTATTAAATATAAAAAACTCAAATGTTAAAGTATATGCAGGCACAGCAAATGAAGCAACATTTGTAAACAAGCTACAAAATACTATTATTAGTTTAGTAAGCAATGGTACAAAATGCAAAACAATAGCAGATCTTGAGAAAGAAGCAGAAAAAGTGAAAATCCATTTAGATAAGAAAGTTCCTGAACGTCAACGAGCCAGGGAGCTGGTTCTCAACATAACAGCTGAAATAAAAGATGTGGCTGAGTACAAACAGAAAACCATGGTGTTACAGGGAAAACTGTGGGAAGAGGTATCCAGAGTAGACAAAGAACTTTGCAGAATGACAAACCAGGGAGGTAAAGATCCACAAGAATATAGAGATGAACTGAAAAAGAAACAATCTTTTCTACATGAGAAACAAAATAAGTGTGATCTGCCACGTGGAATAACACTTTTTATAAATGCAATTGCTCCTTTGTCTAAAACTGAGAAACATTTTTTCCTGAATAGGTTAAAATTGGAACTTGATTCAATATCAAGAAAACATCTTTCTACATTACAAGCTATGTACAAAGAAAGATGTAAGGATAAGCCAATTAACAAAGAAGAGCTTAAAATGATAGACAAAGAAATCTCCAACAATTCTTTGGGAATTGAACATTTCCTTCGTGAGGTGGGACAGTTTTATGAAGCTGAATGTTCCATGAATAAAGAAAACAGACAGGGTAATATACAATTTGATTTTACTAAACTGCCAGGAATTGCTGCTGATCTTTTTTTGGATGGGTTCCCATTGGAGCTGATAGATGGAGATGCCTCCAACATCCCCTTACAGTGGATAACTGATGTCCTGAGTGAGCTGGACAGCAAAACAGGGAGAAAATGCAGAATGAGAGTAATAACTGTGCTGGGAGTGCAGAGTACGGGAAAGTCCAGCATTCTCAACACCATGTTTGGCCTACAGTTCCCGGTGGCCAGTGGAGGATGTACACGAGGAGCCTTCATGACTCTTCTTAATGTAAAAGAGAATGTCCAGGAGGAGCTGGGCTGTCACTTCATCCTGGTCATTGACACTGAGGGATTAAAAGCTCCAGAATTGGCCTCTCTAGAAGGAAGCTATGAACATGACAATGAACTGGCCACAGTGGTGGCCGGGTTAAGTGATATCACCATAGTTAATATGTCCATGGAAAACACCACAGAAATAAAGGATATTTTAAAGATTGTGGTGCATGCCTTTCTTAGAATGAAAGAAATAGGAAAGAGACCCAACTGCCAGTTTGTACACCAAAATGTGAGTGATGTGTCCACTCATGAAAAGAACATGACAGACAGGAACAAACTTCTGGAACAACTGGATGAAATGACAAAAGTAGCTGCTGAAATGGAAAATAGTGAAATTAAAACTTTCAGTGATGTCATGAACTACAATCTGGAAAAAGACATTTGGTACATTCCTGCTCAGTGGCTTGAGGTCTCACCAATGGCCCCAGTAAATTCTGGGTACAGTGAACATGTGTCAAAATTAAAAAAGCATTTATTAGAATTAATGAAAACCAAGGAATCGCTGGACAAGCCTCTAACAATTTCCGACTTTATAGAATGGATTAAAAGTTTATGGAATGCTGTCAAACATGAGAAATTCATCTTCAGTTTCAGGAACAGTTTAGTGGCAGGCGCTTATAATAAACTGTGCATACAATACTCACAGTGGGAATGGGAGTTCCGAAACACTGTCCATGAATGGCAGATCCGTACAGAGACAAACATTAAGAATCAGACTACAGAAAGTCTAAATGATGAATTGTGTTCAGAATTTAAGGATGAGCTCAACAGGTTACTACTTAAAGAAAAAAATAAAATGGTGAAATTACTTGAAGACTATTTTGGCAATAAAAATGAAAATGTTCATCTCATAGTACGATACAAAGAGGATTTTGCTTCAGGCATAGAGTTCCTGAGGAAAGAATTGGAAACAAATGCTCTTAGCAAGTTTGTTAAGGCTGTCTCTGTGAAGAAGGGAAAATTCAAGATTGAGAATATCAAGAGCTGTTCCCAGAAACTAATAGAAGACAAAATCACAGATCTGCTTGGAAAGTGCAGAGAGAAGAACCAGAAACGAAGACAACAAGAGTTACAGGATACATTTGAGGAGATATGGGAGAAGACACTGACAGGTCTACAGCTAGAGAAATTAACAACACGCGTAGTTAGTAAACCAATGCTGACCCAACTGAGGAATGACATGAGAAATAAAGGACCAGATGTAAATGAAGCCTTACTACGTGTACACAACTTAGAAGAGAACATGCAAACAACATTCAAAATAGATGAAAAACATATTCAGACTGGGTTTATAAACAATGTCAATAAAGTGATCAGCTTTGGAAACAAGGAAGTGTATGATAAAATAGAACATTTTGCTCTCTCTATAATAAATAAGTGTGACACATTTGTCAGAGAGAAGGTCAATACCGAACAAGATTATGATGACACCTACTGCCAGGAAATACTTTGCATGATCAATACAGAGCTTAGCAAAGCGTTAAAAAAATCTTAACTTCTCCTCACATTTTGAATTGGATATTAAGTGTCACATTCTGGGAAGAGCATCCCGAGAATTTCAGGCAATGCACAACAAGTTTATAGAAGCCAATGATCCAAAACTTTCTCTGGAAAGACTAAAGACTGGATATTTACAAATATTTAGCTGTACATTTCAAGTGAAAGATACATGTCAGACTAAGGCCAAAGAATTTAGTGAGCGATGCCTAAAACCAGCCATGACAAATTATGTCTTCAAGCATCTTGGAAATAAAATAGTAGCTGACATATTACACAGCTCAGACAACAAGAAATTCAGCAACAGAACCTTCTTTCAGAGTTTTTTGCTGAAAGAACTGCTGGAAGAGTCATTCCAGAAATATGTGACATTCATTGGCTTATATGAGGAATATGCAAGAGACTGGATAAGGAACTACATTGAAGAGAAATATGCAGATCCACAATGCCTGAAGCCCTTAGAAGAAAACATTATCGCTTCAGTGAATACAAAAGTAAAAGCAGCTATTAAAGAAGACAAATGTCTCAGAAGTTCATCTAACTCAGATTTCTTGAAACATGTGTGTGAGTTGCTGCAAAATGAATTGGTGATTCCAAAGGATGAGATGAATTTGATAACTTTTCAGAACCAAGCTACTGTTGATCAGTTTTCATCTGACATTTTGCTCTTCCTCAAGGATACAGAATCAGAAATCATATCAGAGCTGCAATCTATGGATATGAAGTCTGTACTCTCCAGGGTGACAATAAAGCCTCAGGATGAATTGTTCAGGAAGGTTGTTGGCTGTGGGAAGCAATGTCCATTCTGTAAGGTACCCTGTGAGGCCGGAGGTGGTGAGCACAAGGAGCACTTTGCTACTATCCATAGACCCAAAGGATTGGGGGGATACAGATATAGATTGACTAAAGAATTAACCACTGATATATGTTCATCATCTGTTATATCTGATGTTTACTTTAAAAATGCAAAAACGGATATCTCTGGGCACCCATACAAAAACTATCGTGAGATTTATCCTGACTGGTCAATTCAACCAGATGCCAGCCTTGAGTCCTCCAATTACTGGAAATATATTTTTATGACGTTTAATGAGAAGTTTGCTGAAGAATACAATGCTAACCCAGCAAAACTGCCAAATGGCTGGAGAAACATCACAAAAAAAGATGTTTTGGACAGCTTAGCCCGTGTGTTCAATGAAAATCCATAGACAAAAAGCCCTGGATCAAAGTCAGCAACATCTCATTTTTCATTCAAATGTTACTTGCCGACAGATTTGTTATTCTTCATAGATATGATTAGATTTAAGGGATGAGATATGAAAAAGCATGACATGAAATGAACATATCAATAGACTAAAACAAAAACAGGAAAGATAAATTCTGGAATAATCAACCTAACAACAGGAATTCAAATTTTTAGTGTTTGCTCATACGGCTCAATGCACAAAACAATTTTGTCCAGCGATGCAACATACCTGAGTATTGCTAGTGATAGTGTGATAAAGTGAAGGGATCATTTATCCTGTTTAGTAATGAATAATATCTGTAGCTTTGGAAGTCAGAAGTTCTCTAAAACACTGAATAATCTGCATGAGGGAGTGTTGAGTATTGAAGTAAAATGCGGTCCACACTTTTTTTTTTTTTTTCAGTGTGTGGACATGTTCCTTTTTCTTGTTCTATGACACCAAAGTCATTGTTATCATCTGAGGTTCCTGTTTACCTTTTCTGAAGGCAATTATCCGTATGTTCAACTGGAGAGTCCACATGTGCCTGGTGACTGTCTTCTGTTAAAATCCTCCACTGAAGTACATGAGCTTTATAGAGGGGGATGCAGAAAGGTCAGCTTACTGCAATGCACTTGTTGGTCACAGGGACAGGAACATTTCAGATGGATTTTTCCCTTTTCTCCTTTTACTGCACAAGCATCAAATAAAACATTTCTTGAGTTGGAAGAAGTGTTTCTGATGTTAAAAGCCGCTTTATGCACTGACATACCTTCATAGATCTTGATCTGTCTGGACAATATGGACACCTGCTGACTTGGCACCATCCACAGGCAGCTGAAATCCAATAAGACAGAAGTTAAATCCAGTTTTACTTCAGATAAGTGCTACACAGACAATGTTTTTTGCAGTCCTAAGTGTAAGATGACAATGACTTTCTACACCTAGTTCATATGAGGATTAATGCTGACTGAGGGAACAGAGAAGAAACAAGGAAAGTTTAGCTTGAACTATAATAACTAGCACATGAGGAGAGAATAGAGGAATGTACCAAATCATATAAATATACAAGTCGTAGTGGTCCTACACTGCCACTAGATGTCAGCATACATCAGAACAATGATAACCCGATACATCTCAAAAAGGAACAGAAAAATACATATAGTTGAGATAGAGCAAGTCTCTTGGGCTTCTGATGCTTATCAATCACTATAAACTGGCAAAACTTTTCATTACAGATAGCAGATCTGACATTAATTAAATATGTCACATTCTGACAAAGTGACAGGTTTTCTTAATAATACATCCGTTTTAGTTCACTGATACTTACCTCCCCCGTTCTCCATTCAAAGCCAGAGTCCTTGGGATTACCCTGGATGTCAGAGTATTAGGGGGAATATGTGACTTTCTTTTCTTTCCTCCCCCGCCCATCCTAATGCAGTGCTCAGCACCTGAGTGGCCAATTGCCAAACCCCCAAACACTGCCACATGGGAACACGGGAAGGTCATTACCCGGTGAAAGCTCTGACACACTAACATTACTCTTACATGAGGCTTTTGAAGTTAGAGCTTCAGCAAGGGAACAGAGTGCATGTGTATTGAACCTGGCCATACAAAGACTCTCCCAGGTACATGGATCAATTATGGGGTAATTATGTAAAAGTTGCCTTGGGAAAAATTACAGTGAATTTTGTTTAAACTTTCCATAGGCCAGAGAAATAGCCCTGCTGTAAACATATTCATACTGATACAATGTTCCTATGGATATTATTGATATGAATGACATGCATGCCTCTTGATTATTTTTATCTTTTATCTTGCTTATCTTGTGGTCTTTTATTCTGAATGATGGCGTGATAAACCAAAAAATAAATACTACATAGGAATTTCCCACTGAGGGTGCTATCGATAGCATAGAACAGATACTGCTATCCTCTCTCTGCTGTAAACTGGAAAGTTATTCCATATGCCATTCATAAAATGCACACTGCAGAGTGGAGCCTTTGGTGATCACAGATTTTTCTCCACTTAACACAGCAGAGAGAGCTCTGTGATTGGAGGAGAGGTTGGTCACGTGACTTTGGCAGATCACATGACTGACTTCTCCTTCCATTTTTTCTTACACTTCTTTCATTAGTCGAGTCCCAAAACAGGTGATGCACTACACACATTTGTAATGATCAGCAATATGCTATATTTTTTAAAGGCCCTACCCATTCATATCCGTCCACGGCCTCAATTTGACCCCCCAGCCTCACCAGCACGTCTGACACTACAGCTCGCAGCAGCCACGTCCAGACCTTAAGATCCGTCCCGCTCCGTCTTTCCCTCCTGGAGTCACATCTGCTGGCCACCACATTCCAGCTCCATACACTACTCCGCCAGAACCGCCAGATCCTCCATCAGGACTGCCCCGCGCCTCGACCCTGGGACATACAAGTAAGTTCCCCATTTGTTCTATACTTGATTTTGAATTTTTGAATTTTAATTCTATAGAGATGGGCTGTCCCAACACCATACACACCATTGGAGTTGCGCTCTTAATTCTCCATCACTGTCTCCACAGGTTTCTCCTCCTGTTTTTAGAGCAGCACTCCATACCAACCACATTCAAATACAGCCACCACTTGTATGTAAACCCAAGCAAAATGATAAAAATTATAACTGCTAATTATTATTATTATTATTACTATACAGGATTTATATAGCGCCAACAGTTTGAGCAGCGCTTTACAATATAAGGAAGACATTATAATCACTAGGGATGCACCGATACCACTTTTGTAAGACCGAGTACGAGTACCGATACATTTAATCAAGTACTCGCCGATACCAATTACCGATTACCGGACAGGTCACATTTTTTCTAGGGCTGGTAATGATTAAAAATTTCCTGTTCGATTAATCGAAATTTTTAAAAATCGATTAATCGATTAATTTCGAATAATTATAACGCACATACACATCCAACTACATTGGCCTATACACATACAGCACAGCAATAAAGTAATAAAATGAACTAGGATCACACTAATCCAGCACGTTATTAATCTCACGTGCCCCACTCAATATGGCCGCCGCTTGAGTGGGGCAACTCAGAATAATAACGTGCTGGATTAGTGTGATCCTAGTTTATTTTATTACTTCATTGCTGTGGTGTATGTGTATAGGCCAATGCCAGGGATCCCAACCTGAAATAAGCAATTTCAGGGAGGTGTCCCTCTCATTTCAGGGAGGTGCCCTCTCCCCCCCATCCGCGGAGGGGGGGTTAGGGGGGGCTGGGAGAGAGCACCCCCCTGAAATGATGGCAGATAGCACAGGAAGCAATAGCTTCTTTGCTATCTGCAGACTTTTTTTTTTTTTTTGCAGTTGTCAGAATAAAAAAAAAAAAAAGGCATAAGAATGCATAGCTAGATTCCTATTGGCTATTTCACTTTGCAATAGCCTATAGCAAACTAGCTATTGCACCCGCCCCCTGCTGCTTTCAATCACCAGAAGAGGACCTGATAGAAAAATTCAGGTCCCCCTCTGCTGATTGACAGCAGAAGTGGGCGGGTGCATTAGCTAGTTTTCTATTGGCTATTGCAAAGTGCAATAGCCAATAGTAAACTAGCTATGCAATCGCATGCCTTTTTTTTTCTTTTCTGACTGACGGTCAGGCTGCGGCTCCCGATGTCAGAAAATAAAAAAACGATCCCAGGGAAAGGTTTAATCTGCTCGGTTGAGCAGATTAAACCTTTCCAGTAAAAAGTGTGTCTCTCCCGGGTGTACTCACCGGCCCATGCAGCTCCATCAGCTAACGAAGGGGAGTGGGAGGAGCCCAGTGACGTCACGGACATCGACATCACCACACTCCTCCCCCCTTCCCTTCATTAGCCGACAGCCACTTGTGGAAGGGGGGGAGGAGTCCGGTGACGTCGATGTACGTGACGTCACCGGATCTCCGACGGAAGACCCGGAAGCCGGCGGAGAGGTGAGTACGGAGCCAAAGAACTTTGATCGATCAAAATAATTTTGATCGATCAAAAAAATTAACGATTAATCGAGGGATTAATCGTTAATTTCCGCAGCCCTATTTTTTCTAAAGCAATACAAACTAATGATGAATGAATCCTTACTTGATATAATCACTATTCAGCAAATGGAAACAAAATGTATTTAATTTATTCATGCTGTATTTACTCAGCCATGAATTCCTGGCTGGAATCCATAGTTTTGCACCTGCAAGTTGCAATATCACAGCCCAAACCTCTGCTTTTGCTCCAATTATCATATCTCCACCAAGCTTTTCCAAAAGAAAAAAAAAATCTTAAACTTACATTTAGACCTCATTCACATAACTAACAGCCAGCCCATACAGATCCGTGCTGCGGATGGATCCTGTCTGCGTCCGAGCACGGACACCCACAGTATGCAGCAAGCATTAAAAAGATTTTTTTTTTTTACTTTTGGAAAAGCATGATGGAGTTATAATTGAAGCAAAAGCAGAGGTTTGGGCTGTGATATTGCAACTTGTAGGTGCAAAACTATGGATTCCACCAGGAATTCATAGCTGAGTAAATACAGCATGAATAAATAAAATGTAAAAAAATTCCATTGCTGAATAGTGATTATATCAAGTAAGCATTCATTATCTTTGACCATGCTGTATTAATATATGTAACATTGCAAGGCATTCCTGGACCTGTATATCGATATCTTTTGTATTTTTTTTAAATGTGCCAGATATACAGAATTGGATATAGCTTGCCACACTATACCATACAGTGTTGTGGAGTCTGGACATGTGCTCATCTATTTTCCCCACTATGGGGATACAAGCCTTAGTTAGCAATGACATGACCTAAATATTCATTTCATTTCATTATTCAATGTGTATAATATATTTAAAAAAAGACATTGAATAATGAAATTAATATTTAGATCATGCCATTGCTAACTAAGGCTTGTATCCCCATAGTGGGGAAAATAGATGAGCACATGTC